GTAAGCACTAAGTAGACAGTTATGTGCACTCTCATTCCACGCTTATTTGCTTACTGTAATAAACTGATAAAATATGTGTGGTTTGTCTCTGTGTATCTGCAGGCATCATGAGTCACATAGATTTCCTTTAGAAATAATGTTGTGTCTGCAGAATTGATTGCTTATTTTCGCAAACCATCTAAAGGTACACAAACGACTTTTATTATTTAAACATATGCTAGGTAAAGATTTGTTGAAGATCATCTTACTGTTACTTGATGCTTTTTGTTCTTTTAACTCTTGGGGGAAGCTTTATTACTATAGCTACTGAACTGATTACTTCCTTAAGAATCATAGTGTAGGTGATCCATATCATTTGCTTATAATGCAGCTAAATTTTTAACTCTTTGAACATTAGTGGTTATATAATTAAATCAAGATCTAATCTTTTCTAGCATTGTTTCTTATCCTCTCCTATTTATACAAGCTTGATTAAAATAATCCTTATAGCTGAAACTAGATTTTGCTAGTGTTTCTACCATAGAAGGGCTAATAGTTGTTGTTTTGTGTGTAGTTATAAATTTCTATGCAGTTAAGTATAATGGAAAATTTCAATTAATTTCCTGAAACAAATGTTAATATTGATCATCTCCATCCATTACTACATTGCCTTGAAATGGCTGCAGCATTTTTAGGAAATGTAAGCATTGAACAGTTAGCATCCAAGTACAGTTATAACCAATTTTAGAAGTGTATTATTTGTAAAATCTATAGTCATTTAAAATCTTAAAGTGGGCAAGATTATGTTTTATACAAGAGTTTAAGTGGGGAAGTAGATGGGAAAACAAGTAATAAAAGTTAATATATTATGTTAGAGAAGGAATCAAGTGGCTATGTGAAAAGAAAAAATGGAATCGGAGGAGGAAATGCAGTTGGATTAAACCTCATTAGTTGAGTAACAATGAAACAAGACATGTCGGAGCTAAGCCATGAGGGAGGAAGCATATTCTGGGCAGAGGAACTGCCAGCACCAAGGGCTGATGGTAGGGCCTTGACTGTTATTTAAAAGTACTATATGTCCCTCCCCCACGATATACCCCGTTTCAACTGTATTTGATGTTGGTATAATTTGTGGAGGTGAAGGGAAAAGACAAATTGTTTACATAGGGATACAGGTGGACCCATTGCAACAATGAGATGTACAAGACATTATGTCAAAAAACGAACTTTACAACTTTGGCCGTGGACAGGGTGGGGGGGGGGAGGGGGGTTGGGGGGGAGGGGGGGAAGGGGAAGGGGTGGTAAGGGGAAACAAAGGAGAAGGCAACAATGCTTGATAAGAAATGTACTCATTACCTTGCCCATGTAATTATAACCCTTCTGTATGGTATTTTCACAATAAAAAAAAAGAAAGAAAAGAAAAGAAAAAGCTGAAAGTAGTGCTATGGCTGGAAGTAGAACATTAGCTTTGAGCAAAAAATCTCTGGTACAGTGCCCAGGCCTGGTGTTCTAGCCCCACAACTAGCACCAGGAAAAAAAAAAAGATTGAGTCAGGGTGACTGAAGGTAGAAAAGAGTGAGTAGTAGGTTCAAGAATAATAGGAAAGTGGGGCTGGGAAGGTGGCTCAAGTTAGCTATCATCTTCCAGTGGTACCAAGCTTAGGACCAAACTGCTGTTATAGAAGAATGGGCACATTCAAGGTGGTTTGGCCATAGATATGGGCCAAGTCTTTAACACATGGGTCTTTAGGGGCATTTAATTCCCAACCTGCTATACTTTTCTTCAATGTTTAAATCATATTCTTTTCCCCATATTTTATCAAGTAGTTGTACAGAGTGCTTTTGATTCCATAAGTGAGGATATGGTACAGTAATTCTTAGTGTCACCCCTTCCATCATTCTCCTATGTGTCCCCACTTCATCTCTACCCTCAAATTCCATAGTTTAAATTTTACATCATGTACATTGACTATAATTTGCTCACCTTTCTTCCCTCCATTCATGTGTCCCACTGCCTAAACTTTTAGGAGTTTCCACAGAAGTGAAACTGCCTATATCAATATTTGCTTAATGATTTAATTATATCTGCAGCTCAGGAACAATGTAGACAGGATTAAGACCTGGTTAGAGTTTTTAGTGTAGTTATCATCTAATTATCGGAATTATCATGTAATACTAGAGCGGGAAGATGGTAGTTTATACCAATAATCCTAGCTACTCAGGAGGTGAGATCCAGAAAGAAGATCAAAATCTGAGCCTAGCTTTGGCAGAAAAGTTTGCTAGAATACATCTCCAAGTAACCAGCAAAAAGCAGGACTGAAGGTGTGGCTTGAGTGGTAGAGACCAGCTAAGCAAGTGCAAGGCCCTAGTCCAAACCACTTAAAGCTTATATTTAAGGTTGATGGTTGAAGTTTTCATAAATTTATGGGAGAAAATAGGATTCTTGCTGATATATTGGTATATACACATATAAATATAAAATCTGTATTTATATGCACATACATTCCTTTTCTTGCGTCTGTTTCAGTTGCATATCTTTTTTTTTCTTTTTTGGTACTGAGGAGGAAACCCAGCCTTGCACATACTAGTCAAGTACCTTACCATTAGCTACAGTCCCAGCTCAGCGCATTATATCCTTGACTGGATGTTCATTACTAAGAGAAGTTGTTTGGATACATAGTCATCAATATCTGAGGATTTATAATGACATTATTGAAATACGTGTGTGTGTGTGTGTGTGTGTGTGTGTGTGTGTGTGTGTGTGTGTGTGTGTGTGTGTGTGTGTGTGTGTGTGTGTGTGTGTGTGTGTGTGTGTGTGTATCTGTCTCTGTCTATCTGTCAGTCAGTCAGTCATCCTGGGGCTTGAACTCTGGGTTTGGGTCCTCATTTTCATTCAAGGCTGGCACTCTTGTTACTTTAGCCCCACCTCCACTTCCAGCTTTTTGCTGGCTGGTTAAAGATAAAAGTCTCTTGGGTTTGTGTGCTTGGGCTGGCATCAAACCATGATCCTCAGATCTCAGATTGCTGAGTAGGTAGGATTGCAGGCATGAACCACTGGTTCTGGACTTGAGAGTTAAAATTCTTGAATATTGAAACAGAAGATCTTAATAAAAAATTTTTTTGAAATAATAACTTGATATGTAGCCCAGGCTGGCCTTGAAGTCAAGATTCCCTCTCAGTCTTCCAAGTGCTGGCATTATGGGTACGTGCCACCACACTTGGCTGCAAATAGTATTTATTCAGTCAAAAGAACCTATCCATAGAAATAAAAATACTTTAAAAAACTTGAAATTCCTGGGAGTGGGGGGAGAGAACTAGGCTGTTTACTATCATGAGAAGACTGTACTAGATTGAAAAGAGTACTTGCTTTACTATTTTACTTCCAAAATGTAGGTAATGTACCAATCACAAATTTGTACATTCATAAATTTTAACAATTGTTTTAAATTTTGACATTAATAAATTGATCATTTTGAGATACCATGTTTTAGTGATGCTTAGAAGACATTTTATCATCTTATATTCATATTTGATATTTAATTCTTTTATTGAATTTATTGAATTACTAATAGTGTTACTAATTTATAACATCATCCAGTGTGTCATGCCTGATTTAGAATACCTCTATTTAAAATAAAAAGATAGCTAGAACTTGCTCTTAGACAGCATTTCTTTATTTAATATGCTGCTTATGAGTTCAATCAAAATGAGATTCAGGAAAGAATTTAACTAAGAATCTAACATTCAAGGGAAGGATAAAGAGATGATTAGCCAGGAAAATTATTGAAGAATGGTGAATAAGGAAAGATTTGTGTTACCAAATAATTGAATCATATTATAGTACTCTAAGAAATGAAATTATTTTACTATGGGTTTAACAGATTAATCTAGGCCCAGAAATGTTCACATTTATAAGTTGTTGAGAAAAGACTATTCATGATCTCATGTAGACAACTGATTTAGATATTTGGAAAAAACTTAAACATAGAGCTAATATCAATTTCACATGAACTATAAACTTTAGGCAATATGACTATTAACTGACTTTGAAGTAGGAAAAAATATTTTTAATCCATTAAAGCAAGAAAAATGAAGCCATCTAAGTCTGAAAGCCATGATCTTCAGCTTCCAGTAGAAGAAATTTAGGGATGGGAGGATATATACAAGGAGTCAAGATTGAAAACAAAGGAACAAACTGTTGATTATTTGTAATGATACTTTTTTTGTAATTGTAATGCATTCAAAACAACCCAATGACAATCTATTAAAACCAGTGATGATGTTAGCCAATGGCTCCATATGGTACTGGGGGTATCTTGGGGGAGAACCTTATAACTCATTTTTTAAAAGGCAGGTGTAGTGTGGCACACACCATAGTCCCAACACTCAGGAAATTGAACAAGAAAAAATTTTGAGACTACCTTAGGCTATATAACTACATAGTAAATAAGAACCTATTTTTTAGAATTATGTGCCTGAGCCAGGCACCAGTGGCTCACACCTGTAATTCTAACTATTCAATAGTCTGAGATCTGAGGATTGTGGTTCAAAGCCAGCCAAAGCAGGAAAGTCTGTGAGACTCTTACTCCCAATTAATTGCCAAAAAAGCTAGATGTAGAACTGTGGCTCGTGGTAGAACACTAGCTTGAGTAAAAAAACTTCAGGGATGGTGCTCAGGCCTGTGGTCAGTGGCCAGGCCTTAAGTTCAAGCCCCAGGCTGGCACCAAAAAAAAAATAAAATAAAGTTATATACTTAAGGTTGTTTTCCTCTTATCAAAATATCTTAATATATGCCTGCAGAGTACAGAAAAAAGAAGATATTTTTCAAAGATATTTAAATTACCTTTTAATATGTTTTGCCTAATATCCATGAGTGTTACATGCTTCTTTTATGAATTATTGTTATTTTTGTAATACTTCAGAGAAAACAGAAATCAAATATCATAAACATTGGCTTATTTCTTAGAATTGATAACTATATTCATTAATTCATCTTTTATTTCTTTTTCCCTTGTTCAATAGGTTGCTACTCCTGTCTTTGTACCAATGAAAACACATGTTCTGCTTCATCGAATGAGTGGAAAAGGACTGGCTGCCCACTATTTCTTTCCAAGACAACCTTCCATTTTTGGTGATAAGATGGTCTCTGTGCAAGTAACACTGAATAATACTTCAGATCGAAAGATAGAAAACATCCACATAGGGGAAAAAAAACTTCCTATAGGCATGCAAATGCATGTCTTTAATCCAATAGGTAAATATCAATTCTTATTTAAAACTTTCATAACCAAATGTTTCTATTTTAATAGTAGATTCTTTTTAGTTAAAAAAGGTAAAGAACATTATTTTATTGGCTATTAGCATGCTTAGTTTATAATTGTTTTCCTTTTTTTTTCCCCTCATTTGGTGGTTGTGGTTTGGAGGAATCAAACCCAAGTCCTGTTTTCCTTCTTTTGAACTTGCATTTGTTATTTAAGAAAGATATTTCTTTGGACCTGATGAGTTAAGTCCCAGCAATATTAATCCCAGTAATGCTGAAAGGATGAATCAGCAGAATCTAAATTGCTTACCCAGTTTACCTGCCTGTATCACTTCTGCCTACTTCTGGTTAGCTTCCTTTTCTGCCTTGATTTTAAGTGGCTACTGTGTATAAAAAGCAGAGGCTGAATGTGAGGCTCAGCTGGCAGAGCACCTGCCTTGCAAGCATGAAGCCCGCAGTTCAAACTCAAGGACAAAAACAGAAAAATAAAATAATAAAAATGAAGTAAGCTAAGACAAAGGGTGGGTCCTATTCTATTTGTCTTCTTCCACATATAAAAAATAGAAGAACCCATAGTGAATTGCTACATTTGTCCTCAGTAGATTTTTTTAATACCATTTAAATTTTTTTGTTTTAATATTTAAAGAGAAAGAGTTTTATAAATAGCTTTATAAATGGCATAAAATAAGGCACTGAGGCATGGCTGAGCCTTTATCCTTGTGAGCAGCAGCCAGCTAGTGCTGGGCAGCAGCTGCCCTCCCATGCAGCACTTGCTTTGCAGCACTGGTGCTCAGGGGGCTCTTGGTGGCATCCATCTGCCTCCTTGAAGTTTGTGAGGATTTTGCCAAAACTGTACCTTTCAAAAATTAAATGTAAAGCCGTGCACCGGTGACTCATGCCTGTAATCCTAGCTACTCAGGAGGCTGAGATTTGAGGGTTGTGGTTCAACCTGCCTGGGCAGGAAAGTCCATGAGATCTTATCTTCAATTAACTGCCAGAACACTGAAGTGGCACTGTGGCTCAAAGTGGAAGAGTGCTATCCTTGAGCTGAAGAGCTGAGGGACAACACCCAAGCCCAAAGTTCAAGCCCCACGACCGACCAAAAAAAAAAAATTAAATGTAACAGTTATACTTCGAATTTGAAATGGTGGACTGTTCAGAATAACCGATCTCTTTACTATTTTTAATGGACAATCCTAAGGTGTAGTTGGGAGAAACTTTAGATGAAGTCTCAAAAATAATATTAGGTTGCTTGTGTCTTTTCAACCTTAAAAATGTTATCAGAAAGCCTCAGAAGATCCTTTTTAGTACACTTTAGGTGCACAATACCTTTGGATCAGCTCAAATGTGATAAAACTACACTATTTTTCTATAATTCTGCTCTCTATTGCTACAGAATTTTTTTCTATAATTCCCACAGGTCAGTAAAGGAACACTTTTGTTTGTTACATTTTTCACAATGGAATGAAACAATTTCTAAAGGATAGAGCCTGATAGGCGTTTTAATTTTTGAGCTAATATACCTTGTAATATGAGAATGCACGTGTGTGCGTGGGCACCTCCAGCCTATTCCCATTGTTCTCTACTGCCATTCTAAACAACGTAAATAATGTTAGGTAGGTTTCATTATGGTGTGTGTGTGTGTGTGTGCGTGCGTGCGCACGTGCGCACGCGCATGTCACACGCGCACTCCTTTGATCCTCTTCAATAGCCTAGGAGACTGAAGAACAACCAAAATGTTTTTTTCTTTTAAGTGAAGTTAAAGTATGTTGATTGCAGACTATATTTAATGCCGTTTTATTTTACAAAGAATACAGAGTATCTTGATTTTTATTGAATTATTTTTGCAAACAATATATTACCAATGAAGTATAGATTATACCAAATTGTGATCTTTCTGATTACTTACAATCAAGCTCTTTTTTTATCTAGTTAAAAAATTAGTTTAGTTTAAGAAGTGTCAAGTAGCTGATATATGAATTGCTTGAAGGTTGAAAATGTTATCCAAAGGTTAAAACAGTAGAACAGTATTAATGTTTCCTTGGGCTGGCATAATGAGTTGATGAGTTGACCTTTTATTGGCCTATGTAGAATAGAAGAAATAAATATAATAAATTTCACAGTATGACCTTAACACCGAAATAAAATATGAATATATACCATTGCCACCATACTAGTTAAAGGCTTTTCTTTTCCATTCTTAGGCAAATTTTTATGACTGCAATGTTTCATTCATTTTGTTGGCATTTATTGAATGATTTCAAGAGAGTTCTTTCTCATGACTTCAAGAGAGTTCTTTGTCATGAATGGGGATAGACTTTATTACCAATAGAGTACAATAGAGTTATAGAACATAATATATTTAAATTAGTCTCCCAACATCTTAAGAATGCAACAAAAACCAAACACTTTTAAATGTTTGTTTGGAGATTTTTTAAAGTAATATGTTTTATGCATTCAGCACTTATATAGGTTTTCAGGGGTCCAGCAGCCTTCTTCTCTTGTCACCAACCTGTTTTCTTTTGGTCTGTAATATACAATGACCTTTGTCTAGATTTTGCCCTGACTTTAGCATGAAACTGGAGTCCTTATAAGAATACCTGTATTAGCCAGGTTCCCGTGGCTCTCTTCTGTAATCCTAGCTACTCAGGAGGCTGGGATCTGAGGATTGCGGTTCACAGCCAGCCCGAGCAGGAAAATCCATGAGACTCTTATTTCTAATAAACCACCAGAAAACCGGAAGTGGCACTGTGGCTCAAGTGGTAGAGCGCTCACCTTAAGCTGAAGAGATGAGTGACAGCACCCAGGCCCAGAGTTCAAGCCCCACAATGGACAAATAAATAAATAATATCTGTATTAATGTACCATGTTTTCCAAAGGAACAAAGTATATAGGAGATTTTTAAAAATACAGAATAGCCTTAAGCTTGTCTTCATTATCTTCAGTGACTTTCCATTAACAGTTGACAAATTTGAGTTCAGCTAAGATTTCACTAGTTCCTGTACAACTGTCACATCAAAGTGAATGACGTCTGTGTGATTACATTTTTCATTATCAGTGGTATGGAGCCCATGTTTTTCAGCCATTTCTGTGTAGCTATCTCAGATATATCACAGCAAATCCAAAAGCAGTATCCAAATACAGTTATCTAATTGAGCAAGCTTTCCCAATTTAGTAGGCCCCAAATATTATAAAAATCCATTATATGAATAATTTTATGCTGATCATTTTGCTCTTGAAGTGCTCATGTAATAAAACATGCCATTGATCACGAACTGTCCTCCAGAATTAGCATGGCACTAACCTCACAGTTAATTATCGTAAGACTGAAGACAATATCAGGCAGTGTCAAAGAGCGCTATCAGCAGGGCATCTTGAAAGCTGTCACTTTGTCAAATGAAATATAAGAATACAGGATGTAGAGAGAGCTAAATCATAAATGCTATCATGTTTTAGAGATGACAGGATTTGCTTCTAGTGTGATATCAGATACAAAGAAGACTAAACAAACCCAGCTATGTTTGTGGTCCAGATGTTAAGAATTCACTGAAGAAATAGCCTTAGGGATAGACATATCTCAGAAGTAGTACTCTTGCTTAGCATGTGTGAAGCCCTGAATTCCATCCTCACCATGGGGAAAAATAAAAAAATAAAATAGCCTTTAGCAATGAGACTGACAGAGTTGTGAGCTGATGAAAGCATGTATCATTAGGAGGAATGGAAGTTTGTAAATGTTGGAATCTAAGTAGAATACAGTTTTCTTCTTTGCTTGTTTCATTATTGTCAACTGTAAAATAAACAGTATTATATATATATATTATATATATTTCCATACTTGATAAATTGACAGCTGAGGTTTCAGAAGTATTTACCAAATCTATAAAATATCACTTTGTTATTTGTTTTATAATGATAATAAAACCTGACATTAGGGGCTGGCTATGTGGTTTAGTGGTAGAGTGCTTAATCTGGCATACATAAGGCCGTGGGTTCAATTACTCAGTACCACATTAAAGAAAAAAAACCAAACTGACATTAATTTTCTGTTATTAATTTTTGAGTAATGTAGTTTCAATAATGCCCATTCTCTTGGCTACCTTCTGAATGTATCTTAATTTCTTACAACTTTAATCTTTATTTGTTAGATTTTTTTCAACTGAAAAAAATAGAATATTATTTAAAATTTACTTCCTTACCTAGGGTAGATATTCTACAGTATTTGATGCATAATCTTTTATAAACCTCAAGAGTCTAAAACAGTTGTTCAAAACAAGCATCTATTTCCAGCCAGGTGCTAGTAGCTCACAACTACTCAGGAAGCTGAGAACCTGGAGGATCTCAAACCAAAGCTAGCTTGAGCACAAAAATATGTAAGACTCAGCCTAGCCCGGTGGCTTACGCTGGTAATCCTAGCTACTCAGGAGGCTGAGATCTGAGTGAGTGGCCCAGTGTGTCTACAGACAAGGAGGGTGGTACATTATGAAGAGCATCACCCACAGCACAACCATTCATCCCAGTTCTCTCAGGACAGCTCCAGTTTATGGCTCATGTCCTGGAATCACATCCAGTTAAGTGCCTCTTTTCACTCTCTGAAGTGTGCTGTTGTTGAATTAACTGTATGGATCTTTTATTCACATAACGAACACAAAAGTGTCCATGTTCCTTCTTTCCTTTCTTTCATGGCAGTCCTGGGCTTGAACTTAGTGCTTAGGAGCTGTCACTGAGCTTTTCTGCTATCTCTATAGCCACAGTTACACTTCCAGCATTTTGGTTGTTAATTGGAGATAAAAATCTTACAAACAAGCTGGGCACCGGTGGCTCACACCTGTAATCCTAGCTACTCAAGAGGCTGAGATCTGAGGATCGCAGTTCAAGGCCATCATGGGCAGGAAAGTCCGTGACATTCTTATCTCCAGTTAAACCACTAGAAAACCGGAAGTGGCGCTGTGGCCCAAGCAGTAGAGCGCTCACCTTGCGCTGAAGAGCTGAGGGATATATATATATACATATATATGCAAGACTCCAGCTTCAAAATAACAAGCAAAAAGCTGAGCTGGAAACATAACTCAAGTGCCAGTTGAGTGAGTATGAAACTTTTCAGTTCAGACCCTAGTACTGTCAAATGAAAATTACCCAAAACAACAAAAATTTCTCTTATAGAGTATATCATGAAGAGATTTGTCTCTGAAACAAATAGAGGTAAGGTTTGGTTGAGTATGTGAATGCATAATTAAGATTATGAAAACGAAGATCTTCATAGTGAAGTCATAAATTTTTTAACATTTTCATTTTAGATTTTTTAGGTCATCATTAAGTTTTGCTGTATTAACTAAACTACAAATATTCTATGAACAGTGTTTAGTTTGCCTCTTTTTCACATAACCATGTGTAAATTATCTTATTTCCTAGACTCTCTTGAGCCTGAGGCATCCATTACTGTTTCAATGGGTATTGACTTTTGTGATTCTACACAGACTGCCAGTTTCCAGTTGTGGTAAGTTCAGTTGTTGTTCTGTTTTATATTACCTTTAAGGTTAGCAGATCAAAAACTAGGCTTTCAACAGCTCTTTTCTGTGAGAGATAAAACATTTAAATATCTAAAATGTGGTTTTCTTTGACAATGTTTGAACTGCTGTGTATAAATTGTATACAGTATGTGTAGTTTTAGTGTTTCTAACACAGTCATTATGATCTGCCAAATGTCATTGAAATTCTTGATGTGTTGGATACAAAACAAAGCTACTGCTAAATAAAGTTTTTTTGTTTTTTTTAACATTTATTTTATTTTACTTTTATTGTCAAGACGATATACAGAGAGGTTACAGTTACATAAGTAAGATATTGATTACATTTCTTGTCTAACTTGTTACCCCCCTCCCTCATTTTTCTCCCTCTTTTCCTTCTTCACACCCAATCTCCCATGGTTTTTGGTTGTTACTTTTTTTTTCATATTTAAACACTATAGTTTTGGAAAATTCAGGACGAATTAGAAACTTTTACAATATTATTGAATAGCCCAGAAAAAAATCTCTTTTTAGACAGTATGTCATTATGAAATAGGTTGAGTTTCTTGGGTAGTAGAGTATTATTGTTTCTAAATGCATATACATTTCCCCTTTTTACTTTAATTTACAAACTGCCTAAGAGAGATTATGTGATTTTAATTTTTAAAATCCCACTTTTGGGCATTTACCCAAATGTTTACAAACAAGACCACACTAAAGCTACCAGCACAACTATGTTTATTGCAGCATTATTTACCATAGCTAAGATATGGAACCAACCCAGATGCCCCTCAATAGATGAATGGATCAAGAAAATGTGGTATATATACACAATGGAATTCTATGCCTCCATCAGAAAGAATGACATTGCCCCATTTGTTAGGAAATGGAAAGGCTTGGAAAAATTATATTAAGTGAAGTAAGCCAAGCCCAAAGAAACATAGTTCCCATGGTTTCCCTTATTTGCAATATCTAGTATATGTATGAGTCAAGCAGAAAAGGTCAGATAAGGTGAAGTTAGGAAAATGAACCCTAAGATATGTATTTAAATGGTTTTTTTTTTCTTTCATGCATTTGTTTCTAACACATTTATAAGATTATTTCTTTGTTGCTTTGTATGTCCCTCCCCCACAGTATAACCCCTGCTTTCACTGTATTTGATGTTGGTATAATTTGTGGAGGGGAAGGGGAAAAACAAGTCGTTTAAATAAGGATACAAGTGGACCCATTGCAACAATGAGAAGTACAAGTCACTTTGAAACCAACTTTACAACTTTGGGTGGGGGGGGGGGGGAGGTTGGGAAGGGATGGGAAAGGTAAACAAAGGAGGAGGCTACAATGCTTGATAAGAAATGTACTCATTATCTTGCCCATGTAATTGTAACCCCTCTGTACAGTATTTTCACAATAAAAAAAAAAGAAATGTACTCATTATCTTGCCCATGTAATTGTAACCCCTCTGTACAGTATTTTCACAATAAAAAAAGTTCATGCAGATTAAAAAAAAATTTATTGTCATTGCTATTTTTATATGTTTTATGAAAATCTTCTACTGATGAAATTTAAAGGCCACTTGCAAATTAGTATAGAGGTATTTATGCATTTGAAAATTATCTTTAAATTCCTTTTATTTATATTTTTGTAATATAGAGTATAGATTGTTATTTTGAATTGAATTTGCTTTGTTTTTATTCTAAAACAAATTGAAATGTTTTACTTACCTGAATTTTTTTTTTAATTTTTTATTGTGAAAATACCATACAGAGGGGTTACAATTACATGGGCAAAGTAATGAGTGCATTTCTTTTCTTCTTTTTTTCTTTTTTTTTTTATTGTGAACATACTGTACAGAGGGGTTACAATTACACGGGCAAGATAATGAGTACATTTCTTATCAAGCATTGTAGCCTCCTCCTTTGTTTACCCTTCACATCCCTTCCCAGCCTCCTCCCACCTCCCCCCCCCACCCACCCAATCCTCCCCCTACTTACCTGAATTTTAACCAGAACAGAATTTGTAATGATTTACAATATCCAAGTTTAAGAAAAAGACATTTTTCAAAAGTTATGTACATATGACCATATAACCTGATGCTAAGTGAAATGAACTCCAAGATAGGGACAAAAGAGGTTTTATCTTTGTTGCTGTTCTTTTTAATGTACTTATAATGTACTATCTGATTTTTTTTTGTTTCTTTTGTGTGTTCTTCCCCCATGGTACAACCCCTGTTGTCACTGTATTTGATTCTGGTACCCTGCATCTTGTATACACATTTTTCTAATTTGGGGAGGGGAAGGGAAATAACAAAATGGCTGAAATAAGGATACAGGATGCCCCATTGTAACAATGAGTTGTACAAGAGGTATGTTGAAAATGAACTTTACAACTTTGGGAGAGGGAGAAGGGAGGTTGGGGAGGAGAGGGATGGTAGGGGAAATATAAAGGAGAGTGTAACAATGCTGGATAGGAAATGTACTCATTGCCTTGCTCATGTAACTGTAACCCCTCCGTAGAATATCTTTACAATAAAAAATATATTTTAAAAACAGAAAAAGACATGTTTAAATAAATTTCTAAATTAAATACTAGAGCCCTTTTTTCCAGATACTCTTCAGCTTAGCAGTAATTCAAGCCTAATGTTATACCTTTTATTACTGAGAACCTGCAGTGATGAATATAAGCAATGTAGCATAACACATTGATTTTATGCAGATCATCACCTTTATGTTTTGGGAGGTCTGCTGTATTAGTGATATATAAAAACTGATTACTTTTCCTAACATTGCTTAGTAATTGTTTATTATTTTTCTATTAGACAAACAACACAGATCAATATTACTGAACACCAGACTATGAGTAACATCACTCTAAATAGATTTGCCTCCAACACCAGAGGTATATTCATTTTCATGATGTGGTCAATGTGAGCTCAATGACAAAGCTCATGTACTATGTTAGATCAGAATTAAAACTAAAAAATACCTTTATGTTATCAATTCATATAAATAACCTTTTCATTCTGTATAACCAAGCATGTTCTTATTTTTCAAGTTTTTTTTAATTGCAAGACTTCTTTTGTTGTCTGCCAGACAAGATTTGTCTTCCAAAATTAACCAAATTCCTTTAAAGATGAATATTCTGATAATACTTAGTTCATATTTATGTTGGGAAATACTGTGAACAATTTTCAGTTTCTCTAATTTTAGAAAAATTATAAATTTACTTCACTAATAAAATAGTCTTAGATATTATAAACATCTATATCAATATATTTTTCTACTATGAAGATATAAATGAGTTACTTATTTTAGATTTTAGTAAACAGAAAAGCATCCTAGATCAAAAATTATTTTTGTGTGTTCTGAAAAGAGCACTTTGTCTTGCATCAAGTGTAATTGATCCTGAAGCAGTGTAATCACAATTACTCACTTTCTTAATTGGCCTGCCCAAAATCAGAAAATGGAAACCGATCGACGGTGTTTAAATCAATAGCTTCATAGTAGCACTAGTGGGGGTAGGGAGATAGTGGTAATGGGCAGATCAATTGGTCTTAGGTGCCAATCACTGCCTGTGCCTTTTGCATAGTAAGTAGCACTTTTTACTTAGTGATGTGTGCTATAATAGTAAAGTTCAATAAAAAGAAAGGAGGAATGGCTGACGTGGAATTTTTTTCTTAAAATACATTATATAAATTAATACATAAAATTATAAGCAATAATAGAATATTTAATAAGGAGCCTTCAAAAATTCTGAGAACGTGGAATGTAAGCCTTTCAGATATTCTTTTATTAGAATAAAAAGAACAAGATTAACTCATATTATTGTAGTTATTCAGGTAGATAGAGCATTATCTATACTTATATTTGTGTGAGTACTTATAAGAATTTATGTTTTCTCTTTGTTTTCAGTTTAACTGGTTGTTAAATTTAGTCCTTGATTACATTAAATTACAATTATATGTACACATATTTCTCCAAAAGTCAACAGAGTGCATGAATAGACCTCCATTCTTGCTTAGAATATAAGAATGTTTTAACCCGTATTAAAAATAATATGATTTGGCTTAAGTTAGCTTAAAGACTGTGCCACTTGCATCTACCCTTCCTCTTGTCCATTAAAACTACAGAAAATGCTTTTTTTTTTTTGGTCAGTCATGGGACCTGAACTCTGGGTCTCAGCTCTTTTGCTCAAGGCTAGCGCTCTGCCACTTGAGCCATAGCACCACTTCCGGCTTTTTCTGCTTATGTGGGACTGAGGATTGAGCCCAGGGCCTCATGCATTTAAGACAAGCATTCTACCACCTTCCAGACCCAGAAAATGCTTTTTTTTTTTTTAAGAGAAAGATTACCAAAAAGAAAGAAAAATGCTACTAGCATAGCAGAAGTTATGAAGAATTGACAGAAAGCAAAGGGCGATAAATAAGCAACAATAGAGAAAATAAATATACAGGGCATAACACTAATGAGATAAAGGTACTATAATACTAAGGAAACCTGGGGGAATATCACAAAATGAGTAAGTTTGAAAAAAGGGAAAGGGAGTCTTAAGGCATTCATGAGGGAATTAAAGAATGATTCTAATTTCCAGTCTCCATCTTTGGTCTGAGTAGTAGACAGTATATATGTTTAATTTGAGGCCTAAGAATGGCACTGTTAAAAAAATTCTGGGAGATTTTAACTTTAAGTGTGGCTATGGGGAACCATGGGACACAGTAGGGCTTTTGTGTGAAGGAAGCAAGAGATAGAAATAACATGAAATGCAGTTCTGCCTAAGTATATGATCTCAAATCCTCTAAATCCTAGCTTTACTAGAGTAAATGTATTTGTCAGTAGGAGGAGCAACCATTACCTACCTTTGTCCCAACTTCATATATATATGTATATGTGTGTATATACCTCTCTCTCTCTCTCTCTCTCTATCTATCTATACCAAGTAGTATGTCACCCACTTAATAAACTCTAATCAGTCCACCAGAAGAAAAGGACAGATT